TGGACTTAGGGGTAAATTGCAGATTTATTGAAGTATCTGCATGAGTTCAGATGCAGGTCAGGTCTTGCTGGCACAAAATAGCAAAAGCAATGCATATGTCCCCAGGAAACAGGCAGTTCTCTGGGCTGGGAGCAGTATGCAAACATAATTTTGCAGAGGAGATACAGAGATTTTTTGTTTGTTTGTTTCTGGGGGCTGGATCAAAATGTATTTTACATTTTTGGTACATTTGACTGTTACATTGGTATGCACTTTATGGCCGGATCGAGGATCACAGAACTGCAAGAGCATTCTCGTCCAGTCCTCTGCTCAAATCTTATTTGTCCTTCTGGTATAAGCATAAATGGTATTTTCACTCATTTGACAGAAATGTCGTTGTCTTGCTTTGTCTAATTTGCATCTGTACTGCACCAAGGTGAGCAGGAGATGCAGCAGGTTTATTTTTTGCTGTTAAGAGCTCAGAGCTGCAGTTGGATTCTGCGAGTTCCATGCTAGTGCAAATGCACAGCATTTGCCAGATTTCAGACTGAGAATGAAGTTGCAGGACTGATCTCTGGCCATGGATCAGTGATATGATATTCTGGGCTTCCCTGCTCCCAAAAGGTCCTGAGTGATCAATAATTTTTCTATACATATTTCAGGAAGACTCTGGCAAAATTAGTACCAGACATATATCAGGTAAGAATCACTGCTACAATTCCCATATTCACTGTCTGGACCTTTTGATTGGGAAGTAAGGAATTAAAGAAGCATTACACTATAATAAGCTTGGCAAGCTAGAGAAGTTTTTAGTGCTGTTAGAATAAACCTATATCCATGTCCTGGCTAGTAATACACTAAACTAATGGCTAAAGCATAGGGGACAATGATTCAAAGGTGTCCAATGGCAGCAGAGCTCATATTCCTGTCTAGAACAAAGGTCAGTTGTCCTCCTGAGCCAGAAACCATTCCAGGAGACAGAGCTCTCCTGTTGTAGTAGTCATACCCCATTCCACAAGCAAATGAAGTTCCAGATACAAATGGGCATGGAAAATTATGAGAAGCCATCTATACCTGACCTTTGGAAAATGGGAATTCTTTATATAACCTCATTTCTTCCAGATCCTCCCTGCCCAGCCAAGTGAGAAGTGTCCCATAGAAGGCCAGCTCACTGGATGTTTTAATGGTGGCCCTTGTAGAACTAATCATAGCAAGCTGACTGATGGTGTATGATACAATAGTAAATCCCTCATCCCAGCAGTCTTAACAAAATGCAAACAGTTCTCTGAAGATCTGGCTGGATACTACAGAATGTTCTCTATAAACTCATCACTGTGAGCTGTGATTGCACTGCATGCATTCAGTAGTAGTTGACCGAGTTAGATGGTGGGAGAGAAACCAGTGCCTTGTCTCTGCAAAGCTGAAGGTACTTCTCAGGAGATCAAAACTGCAACATCGAGGAAAAAAGTGCCAGGGCATGGAATTGTGTAGCTTCATCGTTTATTCAGATGTGTTGTTTAATTCTATACAGAATCATCAGTGTAGTGAGAGCTGCACCCAGCACAGCAGAGACTGGATGGGTTAATGGAAATGCACAGGACCAGCAGAAGGAGGTTCATTGCCACGGAAAGGCAGGTAGTGCCTATCAGATACTGGCCATTTGGCACTTTGTATTTAAGATTTTCCCAGGGAAACCCTCTAATTAAAAAAAGAACTATATTTCCTAAAATAAAACTTTCAAGTATTTCTCAGCACCCTTGTTAGTCTTATGTTGTGGTGCTGTGAGAAGACTTGCCCAAAGCTATACAGAGAACGGAAAAGTTCAAACTGGAAGTGTCCAGGTGTGCTTTACAGTTGCCCCTTGTATGTTAATTAACTGTTTCTAAAAATACATTAAAGGTTTCCCCAATAGAAAAAGCCAGGTTACTCTTCTGGTCACGCAGCATTCCCTGAAGCCGGCAGGATCATGCGGGAGTGGTGTGGTCCAGCTTTCTGGCTCCTATCAGTGGATTATGACTTAAATGGGATCAAGGACTCAGACTTTGGAGTTGAAGTACTGGTTACATGAGTTGATCTTTTTTATGACTCTTACGAGAGGCAACCCGTCTCCTAAAATCCAGCATCCCACATACTCACTGAACTCTGATAATCTTCTGGAGCTTTAGCAGATTCACAGGAAAGGGTGGACCTGGAAGGATTCCTGGAGGCTGTCAAATAAGTATCCAGTGTTTCAGTTGCAATGAGCTCCGGTGCATCTTCTCTAAATCTGTTTCAAGTTGTTTTTTTGGGGTCAGTGAAACACAGTATAAATCCCGGCTCGCTCAAGTCCTTCAGGCAGAGAATTTGGGGAATACATATGGAAATAGTTTTGCCTGGTGTTCTCTGCTCTGCACCCCTCCCAAATAGAACATGCAATTGTGTTGCACTATAAAAGGGAAAAACCTCCAAGCCTGGAGTAATGTATACAATTCAATAATACATGAAATTCAAAGCCACACATTAATCACATTCATGTTTAACTTTCAGATTTAAACCCCTGCAGGTTGGCTGCCCTTTGTTCTGCTAAGTGGAAGGGGGCATTCCAGCCTCTCCGTGCAGAGTTCAAAAGCTGCCTCGGGTAACAAGTGCAATTTGCTTTATAGGCCTCATTGTATTCTCCCTTCAGGGCACAGTGAGAAGCTACTGCACAGGTTGGCCCCTTATCAGGCTGTTCAAAGGAAGAAAAGTTAGGATAGCAAAGGTTTGGCAGGTCACTGTGAGGGGCTGCTTGCAGGATCAGGGGGCCAAGACAGGAAAAGTGATGATGCTGCAAGTCAGAATCCAGCTGCATTGGCAGGTCTGGGCAGGAAGGGCAAGTTATACAACAGCATCTCCATTCCTCCTGCCACCATCCAGTTTCTAAGTTTTCATTAGTGTTATGTCGTTTGCAGATTTTTGTGAGCAGTATTTTTTGTTGAAGTGCTTGTCTCTGATGTGCCCCTGAGTGTTGGATTATTATTAACTGTTCCTGGTTGTTACCTTTGTCCAGGATTCACTCATTCATTTGAGTGCTGTAGGTTCCTTGCCTCTTGCTGTTCAGACCCCCATTCTCCCCTCCTCTTTCAATCTGCTCAAAATGCTGTTGCAGTATGGCTTTATCTTACCCTTTTCTCAGCAGCCTGGCTTTCCAGGGCTCCACACAGGCAAATTAAGCCAGAGGGAGCAAAGACTATTGTGCTGCCCTTTAGCAGTGAGCTGCCATGGGAACCTGCCTCCTTGCTAATACCTACACTGGCCTTAGTTATGAACACCAGGGGGGTGCTGTGGCTAACTGGAGAATGAAATTATTTGCAGTAGCTGATTTGCATCAGGATTATAGTCTTGGGTGATCCAATCACAACATTAGTCACGGTTGTGCTGTGACTGCAGACACATTAGCAGCAGCTTTAGATGGACTGGGCTGGGGACTGGTAGCAGTCCAGCTGTGGTATTGCGGAAATTAAAAAGGTAGTAAAATCCTCACCAGAAACCTGGTAAATGACAATTAATCTACAATATTTTGGCCATCAGGTAGTTTAAAGTGCATCCACAGATCTGTAATGATGTGCTGCTCAGCTTCCAAATCATAAAATCATATTTGGTCTGAAAGGGATCCTCAAGATTATCTCATTCCACTGCCCTGCCATGAGCAGGGACACCTTCCACTAGACCAGATTGCTCCAAACCCCATCCAACCTGGGCTTGGACACTTCAGAGACAGAGCATCCACAGCTTCTCTGGGCAACCTGTGCCACTCTCACAGTCAAGAATTTCTTCCTAATATCTAATCTAAACCTGCTGTCTTTCAGTTTGAAGCCATTCCTTGTTGTCCTGTCACTCCATGACCTTGTCTGAAGTCCCTCTCCAGCTCTCTTGTAGCCCCTTTAGGCATTGGAAGGTGCTATAAAGTTGCCTAGAGCCTTCTCTTCTCCAAGCTGAACAACTCAGCCTGTCTGTATAGCAGAGACGCTGCAGCCCTCAGATCCCAGTGTGACACTCCAAGGAAAGTCTGAACTTAAGATGTGTCTGAATGAGCATCCCAAGAGTGCTTATAAACATCCCAGAAAACAGGATATGGGGCAGACTGTTTAGAAGTAATCACACTGGATGACTCAGTAAGACTACCCAAATGAACCTGAACTTTCAAGTTAAATGGTCTAAATTCCAGAGAGTCCAAAGGTTTTACACACTGAAGAGAAATGCCAAGTTCCTCAGGCATATCAGAGGTGGAGTGTTGGATTAAGTGCTCTACATACAGTGACGACCTCTTGCTGGTGGGTCATCCAAGGACATTTTCTATGCTAAATTCAGCTTCTCGTGGTGCACATCGTTAATAGTCATCAAAATGGTGCAAGAGTTTGATCCTGTGAGGGCCTCTCCAAAACTTAAGCAGGAGAATAAAAAGGTCTTTTAACAGGGGGTGGAATTCAAATGCCTGTTAAGATTGAGTGGTAAATTCATCACTCTCACCTGCAAAAATTGTGGGCTGACAAATTGGGCTGAGCCTGTTGTGGGCTGAGCCCACCAGGTGACAAAGACAGTGGGACCTGAAAGACTTTCATGTAGAATACAAATATTGAGGTGCAGCAGAAGGCAAATTTTTTCTGTGGTGTCAATTGAAAAGAGAATATTTTATGCAACAACACTGAATTTAAGTTGCAGTTATAAAGTATGTATTGTTCTTATAGAGCCACACTGGGGTTTTAATAAAACAAATGGCAAAGGTTCCACTGACAGGGTTTGGCCCTCAGCAACTTCAGCTTCGGAAGTTATTCTGTATTATATGTAGAAATTCTTCACAGAAAGGGTAATCAGGCATTAGAATGGGCTGCCCAGGGAAGTGGTGGATTCTCTGCCCCTGGAGGCTTTTAAGATGAGACTGGATGTGGCACATAGTGCCATGGTCTAGTAACCACGGTGGTAGTGGATCAAGGGTTGGACTTGATGATTTCAGAGGTCCCTTCCAACCCGACTGATTCTATGATTCTGTGAAAGAGGAAAGCTTCCAACCTATCAAGCTTTGATGCAAACAACTTTTCCTATTTGTGTCAAAAGGATGAATGGTGTCCTGTAAGCAGCATGCAAAAATTTCCAAAAGGCTGGATTATTGAATAGTATCTTGGAGTTTTAGTGAGAGATCACACAAGTGACTTTCCAAACTTACTCCCTGTGCTTCTGCACTATCCAAGTATATGACAAAATGTGGAGTAGGCTTTTCAAAGGCATTCAGCACCCCCCTCCTCCCCATTTTAAGAGCTGTGCTAGCTTGAAATCAGTATAGAGCCAGGTGTCTAATTTAGGCAATCCCCAATGTTTCATAATTGCCATAACTAGTTAGTTAGGACGCAGTGAAAGATCTCAGGGAAGTTCTGTTGACTTAAAAAGGAACAGGACTCAGTTCAGCTTTTGATCTAAATGGTTTGACACAATCAAGCAAGCATCTGTCAGCTGCCTGGTAATAACTTGCTGTTGGTGTATTCTGACCCTGTGCCGGTCCTCCATAAATGGAAATTAATTAGATTTGATATTTTTCTCTGTAACTCGTGAGAAAGTTACCCCATATTTGAAAAAAATGCTCCCTAGAGTTATGAGTGTGCATGTGGACTGAGAGAAGCTTGTGTGTGGTAGTTTGTTACATTGCAATCACTCATGATTTCTGAGTCATAGTTCTGTGATACAGCAATTGCCATTTTTTCTAACCTCGTCTCTTCTGCTGCTTCCTTTTGATTACCATTTTCCCTAACAGAAGGAGAGATTTCCATCATGGCATTCATAGACCAATACTGAAATTGTAAGTTTGATGCCCATATACCATTCTTCTTTCTGTTTCCCTGACTGATGGAGGTAAGCTGTATCCCATTGCCATGAGGGAACAATACCCAGGGTGGTGGTTTGCTGAACGTTCTCTCAGCTTGGAATAACACGATGCAAACTGCAGGTTTTGTTTATGTCTATAAGGGTTGGATGGATGCTCACTCAACCACTGGAGGATCCCGTCCTTCAAGGAGGGTTGTAGTTGAAAGATGTCTTTATGATCAGGCAAACTGATTCAGTTTCTAAAAACCAGGCAAGCCCTCTCTGGTTCAGACTGTGGAAAACATCAGTGAGAATGTCCAGTTCTTGCTTATGTCTTGTGTTTATATAATTTATTCTGGTAAGGAAGATGTTGGGTTTGAATACAGGTGTGCTCAGGGTGGCTGAGCGTTCGCTCTCTGTGCTGTCAGTGATGAGCTGTTGGATGAGAAGTCAGCAGGGACTGTCACATTTGGCTCAAAGTTTATTATTAGTGGACTGTGATGAGGGTACAGTTTCCATTACACAAGGGGAAAAATCAGAAAAGAACATTTTATAGTCCAAAGTGTGGGAAAAGGAAACTCCTAAACATTCCAGAGAGGGGAAACCAGTGGCTCTTTGCTTTACAGCAAGACAGAGGTGACACCTTCTAGAATGTTGTGTAGGCTTTGCCTGGGACAGGCTCAACTCCCTGGCTTCCTGACAGTGCTCTGTCAGAGCAGAAGAATGGTTCTAATATCCCAAATGTTTAAAAATATAGTTAAGAATACACTTTACGAGCACCTGAAGTTAATCTGAGGGAGCAGGTTATATCTAAATGGACTTTTTTCTTAAAAACCAGTGTCTGATGAAAGACTTGCAGTCTCTCTTTTGTTCATATGCTGGCAAAAGATATTTCAGCCAGATAGTTCACAAAGAGATTCAGTTACTTAACATGATCTTACTTGTATAGAACTTCTTGTTCTTTGACCCAACTAACTCAATCCAGGAGGGCTTTAGAAGGAGAGAAATAAGGTGTTTCTAATTAAAAATTTGAAAAAAAATTTGCAAGAAAAAATCCAAAACTGGCAGGAAAACATCAATTGTAGAATTATTTAATTTAAAAAGTTTCCTAATCCTCCCCATGTTTTAACATGAAAGGTGGATCTGTGGCCAACTTTGTTAAGTGCAATCACTTGGCTACTGGCCCACACACATGGGAAGCAAGTCATCTTGTGTCCTACCTCCTCACTGCACTGCTAATGTGCTGCAGCGTGGCAGGAGGAGACAGATGGACGTGAGCAAGAACTCTGCAAAACTGGCAGAGTCAGCAGTTGATTGGATGCCATTTTTACAGCTGTTGGATGTTTGTATTGGGAAAGAAAAACCAATTTGTGATTTCAAGACAAGGATAATTCCAGTCCTTCCAGTGCCTCAATAGAGGAGTGATCGGGAGTCACAAACTTTGAGATTTTGAAAGTTGTGTGCACGCTTAAGGTGACAAATTAGGAGAGAGGCTTTTCTATTGCTCAGTCTTCAGGGGAGAAAACATATAGGATATTTTTAAAGTAGGTTTAGGTCAGGGGAAAACTCACTTGATCTCGAGTTTCACTGCAATTTCAATCATTCTCTCTGGCATCTGGTGCCCATTTATAAGGTACAAAGTAAGGAATCAGTTAAAAGCATGCACAAGCAAATGTGAAATTTGTGCTAGAACAACGCACTTGGGGTTTTTAATACAATAATGGACCCCTTCCTTGTTTGTCTGTCTAATGCTCACTTTGTTCTCTCTAGATCTCACAAGATATTGAATTTACTGGCTAGAGAAGGGCTGCAGACTAGAGAAAACAGAAAAATTTGCTGAGAAAGCAGAAGAAGAGGTTAGTGGAAAAATCTTGCTTTCTCTGGGCAAATAGTACTTATTCTCCTTGTGATCAACACCAGATACTCTCCAGCAACAGTTTCTTGTTTTTCACTCCACCCTGAAAGAGTTCTTCAAACCAGGAGTGTTGTTTTACTGGTTTTACAGATTTGATAAAAAAAATCCAGAGAGCCATCCAATACATTTCAGATAACAGCAGATCAGTACTGAAAACCTGCCACCTTACAAATTCCCAGTTACCAAAGGGATTTACAGACGGTGGTGACAGCCCTAAGCTCTCTTGCTCTTATGCTGTATGTTTGTCCTGCTGGAGGCTTTTTATACTTCGCAGGTAGATCTGAAATTTGTAATGGAAAAGAAAGCTGGTGAGTGTTTTGTGCCTGACAGTCTGGGAGGGAGAAATGACTTCTGGATGAATTGTTGTGTTCAATACAAAACAAATGACCGGAGCGACAAAATCCCCTGTGCTTCTCTGTAACGTGGGTACTGTGAAACCTTCATACTGCCACTAAATTTTCATGTGCTTGTACTTTGGCCCAGCAGATGCACCTTTTTTTGGTCCCTAAGGATTTAGAGTGCTCCCTGTGTGCCTGGTCCCATGTCTCAGCGCTAGGGGAGACTGCTGATGGGCTTCACTGAGCTGCTCTGAAAGTGGAAACAGGAGCAAAAGTCACAGTTTCAGTGGTGTCTCCTTGTCTCCATCCTTTGCTTGTGTCCCATTGCCCCAGGCTCTGCTCTTCTAGCTAGATCTGCCTATTCTAGGTGAGACTATTTCAATCAAGGAATGCAATAATTTCAGTATTTCCTATTCTAAGTCTTGGACTAATGTTGAGGTCTCTGGCTTCTGATTTATTTTCTTGTTTCTCAGATGCCAAGCAGCTATTTGGATCCTGTAACCAGGCTTTCCTTAGGCTGGCAGAACAATTTACCATTATGGCCTCATTCCTATCTGTAGCCATGCTCTATGTAGCCTCTTTGTTTCTCAGCCTGTTGGTTTTACCTGTCCCCAGGAGCAAGTGTTGGGCAGAGGAAGGATTGCACAGCCAGGCCCTGATGCAGATCATCCATTTGTCTTGCTGAGAAATCCTGAGCTTTGAGGTCTGATAATTAAGTGTTTCATTAAGTCTGACACTGCGGTGGAGCCTGCAAAAATATGTGATGTGTGTCAGAGCACTTTCACATGCTGGAGCACAGGGCTCCTGCTTGAAACTACCACTGGGGGAGAGTTGAGTCTGCTGCATTGGATGAAATCTTGGTCTGAAAGCATCCAAGTGAGGAAGAGGTGATGGCAGCTGATGGCAGCATGTCCCAGCACAGGCTGAGCCATACACACTCTACACCACCTGCAGCCTCTTCCCCCGGAACCTCCTGGGAGGAAACAGAATGGGATGAGAAAAGAAGAGAACTGTCCTGGGGGGAGGAGAAGGAGACAAAAGAGGATACTGAGGAGGGCCAGAAAGTCCCAGGGAGTTGGAAGACTGTCAGAAGGGAAAGACATAACTGGAAGGGTCCCAAAGACATTAAATGTGGGGAGGAGATTTTCTCTGCATCTTTAGGTGAACTGAGCATGTCTGGTTCCCTGTCAGCTCCTTATCACTGTATCCAGGCATCTCTCCAGAACCTATCAGCAAGAAGAGATTTCTCAATGAATCATTTGCACTGAGTAGTTCTGCTGCAGACACCATTGGTGCCAGACACTCTTTAGTCCTGTGCAGCTGTACTGATCTACATCACATCTCCCCTCAAAATCTTTCTTGTCCTGAGTGAGACACTGCTCATCACGATCAAAACAGTCTTACTCTAGAAAGAACAAAAGGAGAATTAATTGGCAAACAGTTTCAGTAAAATAGACTTATGCTCCCAGAGCGCCTCACTGCTGTCAGGTTGTGCTGGAGTCAGTCATGTCAGAATTGGATTGGCCGGGTGGATTTTCCTAACTGCCAGCTGGCTTTATACGCTGTACCTGTATGAGAAAGAAAAACCTTGTATGATGCTGAGAACTCCCTGTTAGGTGCCTGTATGTGGACAGGTGATGTGTGCAGTCATAGTTAGATAGTGGATGTCCTATGGCTGGAAGGAAACACTGTGTAGCCTTCCTTTTACACCAGTGGGAATGACCCGTGGTCTCTGCTTTTCTATTCAGCCTGCTGTCTATAGCTCACAAACAATGGAAATAGTTCACATTTAAAGTGCTTGCTCATCTTAAACCAAGACCCAATCAAAAAGGAACTCTTTGCAAGAAGTTTTCAGCAATAATTTACTTCACAATAATATGAACAAGCTTGAACTGAAACTTTTATGACCTATGACTTGTCAGATTTTTCTTCACAGACCTTACCCTCTAGCACATTTTTCATGATAATACAAACCAATCTGTTTATTATTTTCAATTTTAAAAAGTAAAAAATTATTGCATCCTCATGAAAATTGCTTCATTGTTGGGCTGTTTGAGTGGTCAGTGTAATATATCATTGTTTGATCTGGCAGAACCATCTATTTATAAGCTAGTATGTGTCAAACTATTTTTTTGGCAAAACTGGGAAGACACCTGGTTTAGTTTAGATTCCTCACTATGTAATTCCAAACATCGTTCAGTCCTCTTGGATGGAAAATGCGGGCTAGGATCCAGACTTAAGAGTGCTGCTGTCATTCACAAGATGCTCAAGGGCCTCTGCTCTCAAGGTTCATGAGATCATAAATTCTTTTTTAATTTTTCTTTTCTTCTTAGTTCAAGTCTAGGCACGAACCCAACGCAGGGCACATATTAAATGTGAGTGAGGCGCAGTCAGCCCCATTCGCTGTTTCAGAGTTGCCTGTGTTGACCAACAGAGGTAGCAGCAAGGCAGTCAATGAAAGTTTGCTGATGTGATCAAGAGGAGTGGGTTACCTTTGCAGAGCTGTCATAAAGCTAGGGAAGACAGCACAATCCTGGGCCAAGTTTGGGAATAGAAATTAGAAATACAGTATTCCTGGAGCTGAGGGAACTGATGATTGATTTGCTGTTGAAAGGTACTATTCAATAACCTTGCAATAATGCCTTTACAGAGGTGTCTTTGTAGTTTGTTCATTCCCTCTTGTTAGAGCTTATATATGACATACTGTACCAGTACTGTATTTTAATACAGTTCCCCTTTTGAGTCAGCTGGATCGTGCTATTAGACAAGATGCAGGCTGTACCTGTCACTGTTCCTTGGTTATAAAGTTCAAGAGTTTATACTGAAGGATTCATATTGATTTCAACTGTAATTGTTTGCAGATCTCATAAAGGGTGCTGGGATCATCACTGTTAAGTGATTGGTGTGATGAGAGTTGTAGTGTGCAATACTCTGTGTGTGTTCAGCATTTACATAAATGTAGTAGTAAAGATGAGGAAGAAGGCAAGGTGAGAGCCAGAGAAAGAGAGGAGGAGGAGAGAGGAAAAAGGAAGGTGTAGATTCTAGCTATTTGCCATGTTCCTTGTTAACCCTGTGAACCCAGTCCTTTCTGTCCCATAACATCATACCACTGCATCACCGTCATGGTCAGCCCTTAGCAGGCTTTGTTTTTCCTCTGTGGTGGATCTTCTCTCTTCTAACTGAGAATGAGCCCTTTGCAAAGAGCTGGCCAGTTGTCTAAATAGGCTGCAGCCCCTCTTGCTTATTTTCTCTTCATCCTCCTGGTGAGGGAGATAGGTGGTCTGGAAAACAGAGTCCAAGTGAAATGGTTCATGCCCAGAGCAGCTAAGCAAAACTATGCTTTGAGGCCAACTTATTTTTCATAATTTATCTTGTAATGTAAGCCAATGCAGTAGTTTAAGGCAAATTTATTTTAAGCCTTAAAGGGCAAAGGACTTGTATATTTAACCACAGGCTAAGTTTGACTTAAGTACACTGAAGTCAGCAACGACTGTTACCTCGGTGACCTCCTATCTCCTACTAGGCAAAGTCCTTCTGTTTCTGCAGCCCGTGTTTAGAAACTCCTTAGTAATACAACCTTGTCAGTGCAATGGGAAGAAGAAATGAAGCTTGGTTGTGAGTGGATGAGTGGTTATTTGTGGCAGCTGAACACTTATCAGTGTAGTAACTCTGTGTCACCATTTCTAATGCGTGTTAGGTACTCAGCTGTGCACCAAGTGAAGAGTTGAGCACCCAAACTCAGCATTGACATCAGCAAACTTGCTGAGGGCTGTGAAAGACTACCAGGAGAAATATCAAAGAGGAAAGGGTGTCTGAAATATTTCCCTTCTTGTTACTTCAGATTACTCAAAGTACCTGCAAACTGGATTCAACCAACTTGATGAGATAGCGCTTAGCAGCCCAAAGCCCTGGTGGTTGTCGTGCTGCGTTGCTCCTACGGACAGGCTTGTTCCTAAATGCAGCCAGGTGGGTCATAGTAGTGACAGCCTCCTATGTAACAGACCTCAAGGTATAACACCTGGTGAAGTGGAAGAGGTACACTTTAAACCTTCTTTAGCTCAGAGGTTTTCCGATCCATCTCTTCCAATTTCATACTGGAAGACAACTTGGGATGAGAGAAGGGTATTCTTCAGCTTTCTCATTGAAGCTGCCATGGCCAGAAGGAGCATTGGTCTTGTCACAGAAGACATTCCCTTGTTTTCCAATGGTCTCTGTTCTTAAAACTCTTTACATATTTTACTGTGTGAATCTTTAATGCTAAATTCAGAAATGTCTAGTTACATGGGGTTTGTGTCTTATCTTCTTGGATTCTGATATCTGTAACCCATCCAGCTTGCACTGTAGGTACCTAAGTGATTTACTAGATTTTGCCCTAAATATTTCTTCTGCTGAAAATATGAAAATTCACCTTGCTATAAATGGAGCATCTTCCCTGATAAGGCCATTGCTTTTCTTAGTTTTCTAATACCAATTCCAGACTATGTTAATGAATAGAAGTTATGTGGATATGCATGATAAATACCTTCATTTAAAACGAGGCAGTAACTGTGCCAGCCCAGTCTCTGATGGTTTCTGGATCTAAAAAGGTAGCTGAGCTAAGAAC